AAAAAAAGAGAAAAGGGAAAAGAGGGGGGAAAGGGGGGAGGGAAAAAAAGAAGAAGGAGAAGAGAAAAAACGCGATGATCAAAGAACGATACAGAGGAGGGGGAGGGGGGAGGGGGGGGGAAGGCGGACGTTTGCGAGACGTTGAAGAGAACATTATTGCGAGTGCATAGAATACGAGAGAATCGACGAAATCAAACCCGCTTGGGATAAACGTAGCGTTTAGGAACTTATCAGTAAATTTAAAAATAATAATTTCCCGAAAAAACGATTCGATTACCCGTAGTACGTGGATATGGATATAAAAGGTGTGCCTTCAGTCCATCTCGCGGACCACAAATATTTCGTGCCATTAATTCCTCGTAAACTAAATATTGCTCTATTCGGCGAGAAGAAAACGAAGCAAACGTTTCTATGCCTGAAACATAAAGCGTAAGTTATTAGAAATCTGACAGGTACGCGATAATTCGATAATCTTCTTAGTGTCTTCCCTGAAGTACGAAAAAAAACGAAAAAAAAACGGAAAAAAAAAAGGAAAAAAAAAAAAAAAAAAAAAAGAAAAAGAGAAGAAAAAAAAAAGGCTATCTCGACGATGAAAACTTGGAAAGTTTTTGGCCGTGGTTGAGATATTTGTTGAAATTTAATCGCGATTTAGGAGAAATGTTGATTTTGCGTGTTTGAAACACCTGTTAATAAAAATTGTTTCGCTCGTTGATCCGTGTATTTTTTATTCTAACGTTTTATTTTACAAACGATAAATCATTTATCGCTCGATATTGTTGATATTTCTAGCGGTTAATTAAAATATTTATAGCGTCGATACAGACACGAGACGAATATCGGTGCAATATTCTTTCATTCGTAATTCTGGTTCAGTTGTGTCGATACTTTAACACGAGAGCAAATATTGTATTGCAAAAATTGAATCAAAAAGTTTGTACAATGAAGAGGAGAGATTTTTCTTTTTTTTTTTTTATCGTAAAAAAACCTAAAAACATAAGAATTGTGGCCCAAGATTTAAAAGAAACCAACATCAAAAACATATTTCGCTCTATTGCCCGTCAATTGTTTTATAATAATAACATATAAACACGAGAGACGTCATTTGTAGAAAAGGAAGCGAAGAAGAAGAAGAAAAAAAAAAAGAATTACACGAGAATACAACGAAGTAACGCAAAATTCGATCGCTCAATCGAAATCGTGTATTGAACGTTAATTAAACGATTGGCTCTATTCGAGTTTAACGAGTTCCATTTCTCGACACAAACTAATAGAATAAAATAAAATGCGCAGCCTAAAAGGACACGGTACCGATCGCGAGGAAGAAACGAAAGAATTATAAATAAATATATATATATACATACATATAAATACAAGAAAAATATATATTATATATATATATAATAAAAAAAAATACCAAATACGCGCAACGGCGACGAAAGCTGTTATTTTGAAATTCGTCGTGAAGCGAGAATGAAAGCGTTGTGCGTGAGATTAATGAAAGAGAAAAAAAAAGAAGGGGGGGGGAGGGGAAGAAAAAGAAAAAAGAATAATAGCTTTTAAGTGAGAGGCGAGAAAATAGTAAGAGCGTAAGAAGCAAAAGAAAGAAGGAAAAAAAAAAACAAAATATCGTGTACATTATTAGTTAGGCGAAACAAAGGCGAGAGAAAAAAAAATAATAATATAGGGTTATTTTTCTGAAAGGTGGAACGAGCGAGAGAAAAAAAAAGGAGGGGGGAGGGAGAATGGCAGGTAAGAGTTCGAATGTACGAATGACGTGGTAAATTGTAGCGCGAATCTGAAGGGGGTGGGGTGGGGGATATCTCGAGGTGTCGTATTGAAAGAAGTCGATTAAAGGGGGGGAGGTGGGGGGAGGGGAAGGAGAAAATCAAATCATACGTCTGGTACACTCTGCTCTTACGTCGTTCGGCCGTATAATCACTCCCCTTGCCAGAAAGTTCACTTCTCGACTCGATTCCACTTTCAACGGGGAAGAAAAGAGAGTGATCCCCTCCCCCTACTCTTTTAAAGAATTACGGGGAGGGATCCTCGTCCTGTAAAAAGTATTTGAAGAATGGCGTCTTAAGCATTAAGGCGTGTATAGAACTTACCGATAGTCTCGAGTACGTTGTCTAGGTAATAATAAAAGCGAAGCGAAGCTAGCCAAGTGAAAAGAGAAAAAAATTGTGAGGGAAAAAAAAAGAGGGGGGAAGAAGGAGAAACGGCGCAAGCATCAAAGGGAAAAACCAAAAAATTGTAGTATAAAGTGATAAGTAGATAATTAATGTAATCTAATTTAGTAGAGTCGAGTACCACGGAGTTTTGGAAAGTAAGTAACGAAGTAACAAAGCGAGAGTGGGATCGAGGTAAGAAAGAGGAAAACGTGTAAAAAAAATTTAGGTAAAGAAAAAAAAACCGAGAGAATGACGATGACGAAAGAGCGAAAGAGTGAAAGGAAAAGAGTGATTGAGAAAGAGAGAGAGAAAGAGAGAGAGAGAATGTGTCGATACGTGTAATGGAAAATGGCAAAATCCATTTATTATGGTACCTAAGTCATGCGAGTAATCGCGTCCCCCCCCAAAAAAAAAAAATGGAATACAAAATGACACGCGTACACCGACATCTATACTTTCACGTAAACGCACGCACGCACAAAACATACATGTACACGTATGTAAATACACAAACTGCAAAAAAGAAGAAAAATTACACACCTACTCTTCTACAGAACAGCGTATGTATAGAAAGAACGTAGCGGCGAGGAAAAGTTGAAAAAAAAAAAAACGACAACTCTAGGCTTAGTAATCTAGTCTAGCTTGACGATCGCTAGATTAACGAGATAAGAAAAGGTTCATGAAAAAAAAATAATATATTATATATATATATATATATTATATAATATATATATATATAATATATATATATAATAAATAAACGAATAGCGCAATAACTATATCCGCAGATTCACCTCCAGCATTGTTACACATACACATACATACGAACACAATTCGTGAATACATACATACACACACACACACACACACGAATAACAAAAATAACAAAAATGCATATATAATACGGAAATAAAGATACACGTATATAAGAAACAAGCTACGGCTGCTGCCTCCATCCTTCGTCCGTGATCTCGAGACGCAACTCTAGAATTTTCCGCAGCCCCTCGTAACGCGTCCGATATTTCGCAATTTTCGCCGTTTCAAGAATTTTTACCGTCGTGTCGTTTAAGCTTCAGCAAGCTGGCATACCAGCCGCCTAACCGTTATCGAATCACGACATTCTCGCGTTACCACGACCCAGTTCCCTCCTTTTTTTCTTTTTTTTCTTTTTTCCTCTCTCTCTCTCTCTCTCTCTCTTTTCCCTCTTTCTCTCTCAACCCACCTCTTCTTCTTCCATTCTCCTTTCACACTTACTGGCATCTTCGACTTTCTTTCATTACTACGTATCAACGTCTTTGTGACATTCCTTTTGTCCCCGGTCCCCTTTTCTTCTTCCTCGTTTTGTCTCCCGGTTTTCCTCGCGCTTTCCTTCCGTGCCGAACGACCGAAAATCGCTCTGCAAATGATTTTTCTACACACAGAAGGAGATAGATCCCCTCGCGAAGATTTAACCAAATATAGCCGACAATCATTCAAAGAAACATACATATTTAGAAAGTTGTACGTTGTTCCTTTTTCCATCGAGGAGACAAGTGGAGATAACAATTATTATAACCAACTGTTTCCCCCGGTATGCTTTTCATTCGCGACGTGGCACACGCGTATATATATATATATATATACACGAACAAATGGACAGGGAGGATTATTCGGCATCGGCGGTGAAGGAAATAGGAAACGCCATCACGGATCGGTTTTGTCGAACGCACCCCTCCCTCCACCACCACACGTTTAATGTTCCGTCATCGAGTCATCGTGCACACATCCGCTTTTTAACAAATATACAACGAAACACTTTTAACGCGTCGGCACACGCGTTACATACGCATTTAAAGCACGTGTAAAACATATCACTGCGTTATTTATTAGCAAAGTCCGTGACTCCTCGTAGAGAAAATCGTAGGGAGGTTTAGCAACACGCGTAACGTGTCGTTAAATAGAATCCAATGAACGTATAAGTTACAGTGTCGAGACCGCGGTTAAAGCGGTTTTCTACGAAACAAATGAAAAGAGAATCAAAGTTTGTACTGGTAGAAGAAGCGTTAGAAAAAAAATCTAAACAAAATGGTTACCAATCTTTATTATTTTTTTTTCCGTTAGATATATATATATATATATATTCGAAATCTCGAAAAAAAATTGTTAATCGGTAATCGCGAATTTACGAATTTTCTTGTAAAAAAAAAAAAAAAGAAGAAGAATTCTTCGTTTTTCCTTTCTTTTCTTTCTTTTTTTTAGACGCTTCATCGAACTAGAAAAACTACTACTACTACTACTACTACTTCTCTTCATTTTTTAAAAAATTTTTCCATTCTATTTATCATCGTTGAGATAACATAGAGGAGGAAGGATTATTTTACGTAGAGATTTTATTTTACACAATTCGTCGACCGTTCCTTCGACCATACGCAGACGCACAGGCTGCGTATACCTATCTTACCGTCCTATATAAAAAAAAAAAAAAAGAATAACATTGTTTAAGAGTAGTTACATTTATTTAGAAATGTTACTCTGAGATATGATACGGGCCAAACAACATCACGGCATACATATACATATACAATGAATGAACGACGATCCAACGTTGTACATATATTTAGAGTCGTTTCGCGTATGTAGCCAAGAGTCTAGAGGGATACGAAATTGTAGGAAATTATAGATAACCAAGATTTAGATAAATTGTACGTTTAGCCACAGCTATTTCCATATAGCACCCACCCCTCCCCCAACACACCGAGTATTTATCTGTTCTTCGTGTATAAAGAAGATTTCGCGTTTGTACAAATGAAGAAGAAGAAGAAGAAGAAGAAGAAGAAATAAATAAATAATCGACGAACAAAATTATATATATATATATATTTAACCGTTTGCGCTTGTTTAATGTTGTACAAATGATAACGCGCCGGTTTCTACGGAAACGTAGAAGTTCCCCGTTCCGCTAGATCGGACGATTGAACCTCGTCCTATAATTGTTAATCGCGACGTTCTGTGTCTTCTAGGTCGAGCAAAGAAGCGCCAATACTTTAGCGAAGAATCCCTGCTTTTATCATTGATGTAGGATTTGGCTTTCTTTTTCGTTCGAATTCGAATAACGCGAGCAAAGAGAGAGCGGTACAAACGCAGGAAAAAAAAAAATAATTCGAAAGTTTCGAAGGAAGAGAAAGAAAGAAGAACGGGCGGCATGCACGGTTTTCTTTATCCACGTAGAAAAGTAAACGAAGCGAATGAAAGTCTAGTTTGAATCTTTGCAAAGAGAAAAAAAAAAAGAAAAAAGGGAAAAGTCGTCATTGCTTGAACGCAATCATCATCTGTAATTCTCGTGAATCAGGGAAACTAGCATAAGGGTAGGAAGGCAGCAGTCAAGCCATTCGAGAATACCGGAGAACCGTGAAAACAGTTCGGCACAGTTTAACACAAGAATGTTTAACGGGGAATAAAAAAGAAAAATTTGTAAAAGATGAATATGCACACAGCGGAGGAAAGCAAAAAGAAAAAAAAAAAATAAAATAAAATAGGAGCCGTAAGCGTAGTCACCGAGCATACCTTAAAAAAAAAAAAAAAATAACATATGTATATGATCATATAAATATATATATATAATTAAAAAAAAAAAAAAAGACTACAAGAAACCAACACGCGCATCTATATGTGTATACATACATACGTCTCTACATATGTATATGTATATATACACACACGTATAACACAAGAATATGTATATTATATATACATACCAGATATAAATGTGTAAGAAGATAATATTAGCCGACAACTAGAGATTATATCGAGTATAAGCTTAGAAAATGGAGAACAAGAGAAGCGGGCGGAAGTGGGGTGCGCGTCATCCGTTAAACGCGTCACTCCCCGCGATATACTGTGTTAAATACCCCTTAGCCGTAAGAAGAAAAAAAAAAAAAAAAAACTTCGAACGATTGTACCCGTATCTCGTGGAAAAGATAGACACGAGAAAAAAATGTTGTGGCTAGCCTGCCGGACCCCCTGAGCCCCTCAAAATATGAATTAAAAAAAGGAAAGAAAAGAAAAAAAAAAATAGTTCGTTGTGCGAAGAATGAAAGAAACGAAATTAAAAGAGCGAAAGAAAAACAAAAAAGAAATAAGAGAGAAATAAGAGAGTGTGTGTTTGCATCGTCGGTTGACGAGTAAATGAACGAGAGAGAGAGAGAGAGAGAAAGAGAGCACGTGTGTATGCGCAGAGCATGTGTGCGTGTGTGTGTGTGTGTATGCGAGAAAGAAAGAAAGAAAGAAAGAAAGAAAGAAATTCAATGCGTCTCGATGCGAAAGAGAAAGAGAAATTCTTTCTGAAGGGAGAAAAGTTGTTTAATAATAACGATAATTACGATCACGTCCGATTCATACAGAGATTACGACGTTCCTTCATTGTTTCGTAGTTTTTCGTACGATCCGACGTGCGCGTCATACGGGGTCCATATAATTGTAAATCATGGACCCCTTCCCACTCCCTTCCCCTTCAACCCCCTCCCCCTCCCTCCATCCCCCCTCCCCCGGCGCGGTATGCGGCATATCACTTACGACCGTACGCTAAGGAGTAAGGTGCCTTTTTTTCACTTCATCGTGTGTATGTATTTTGGGGTTAAAAAAAAAAAAAAAAAACAAATGAAGAAAACCAAAAAAACGAAAAAAAAAAAGAAAAAAAAAAT